TAAAAAAGATATAGTCTGTCAGATAGCTGCTCGAGCGTCCCAGCCAGTCGAAGCTAACCGAGAACGATCCTCTACTGAGTCAACTGGCCCGAGCCAACGAGTCTGTTAATCACGCTCTGGTCGAGCAGCCATGGTTCATCCACCAGACTTAGTTTCCTGTCTCTTTAGAAGTCAAAGATACAGAGGTACGAGCCTATAGAACAGATCCTGTTCAAGTAAGGTCGTGTCCATAAGTGCTGCGTTAGCTGTATAAATACGTCTTTATTATTTAGTAGTTTTCCGATGTGGGACGAAACTTTGGACAAAATTAATCAATTTTTTCCACTTATTAAACAGCTGCCACCAAAACCCCACATTCTCAATCTTTTTTTTTCTCAAGTAATTTTATTCATTTAAGTCCTGTTAATAAGTAACTTGCATTCTACAATATATTACAATAATATATAATATAATAGGGTGCGCATTTGCACGTTTATATCTTTTTCCGATTTCTAAATAAACCTTTTTTGTCAATAAAATATCATCTCAATTTAGTCCGAATGAGTAATTAAAACAAAAAATAAGTACTATGATACAATGTTTATTTAAAAAAGGTTGTATCATGGCAAAAGATAGTTTTTATTTGAAGAAAAATATAAATGAAAAGGGAAAAAGAAGATGAATAAATCAATTCAGTCTTCCGCCATATCACAATTCCAGTTTTTATTAAAACAAAATGTCAACGTGTTTGATTCTGATTGGCAACCGTTTTTTACCATTTAACACCACATCCACCACAGTCGTTTAAAATTTTAGGTTTTTGTGCATAAGTTCCCAACCAAGCATCTTTATTATTCTAGGTTTAGGGGCTATATCTCTTTCACCAATAAGCTCATCCCTTTAATATTTATTATAAATAAAGGAAACATTCATGTATATGCCAATATTACCCTCAACCCTTTATACCCAATTCTTAATTGTAACATCAATTTAATCAATTTTGTCCACAAAAATCCAATTTTAACCTTTTTCTTTTCAAAAACTTTTTTTTTTCAAAAATCAAAAATACATTATTAAACATCTACAAAAGTATGTTTTAGAAAAACGGAAAAAAAAATAACCAAAAAATATTTTGGAAGTCTGTCAGACAGCTGCTCGACCACCTCAGCCAGCCGAAGCTAACCAAGAACGATCCTCTACTGAGTCAACTGGCCGGAGCCAACGAGTCTGTTAATCACGCTCTGGTCGAGCAGCCATGGTTCATCAACCAGACTTAGTTTCCTGTCTCTTTAGAAATCAAAGATACAGATGTACGAGCCTATAGAACAGATCCTGTTCAAGTAAGGTCGTGACCATTAGTCCTACGCCAGCTGTATAAATAAGTATTATTCGTTTAGTATTGTCCCGATGTGGGACGAAACTTTGGGCAAAATTAATTAATTCACTTTTTCCACTAATTAAACAGCTGCCACCAAAGCCCAACATTCTCAATCTTTTTTTCTTTCTCCCAGTAATTTTATTCATTTATGTCCTATTAATAAGTAACTTACATTCTACAATATATTACAATAATATAATATAATAACATCAATAATAGGGGTTAAATGAATTGAGTTTGAGCCGTCTCGTGAGCTTTTTAATATCAGGACACATTTAATTTTTGAATTTCAATTATTATTATTAAAATTGTAAAAAAATTAAATATTACAATTATTAATAATAGGCTTTTTAGTATCTGATTAAATTGCATTTTTTAAAATTAACATTGTTGTTAATATTTTAATGTAAATATAAATAAAAATAAGTAAAATTAATTAGCCTACTTGTGAACTCATAGAAAAAGCTCGAAAATTCAAGCTCGAGTTGTTGAGCTGGCTGACAAATCTCATTAGTCAGACTTAAATTCTTAATTAAAAGTTTGAAAGAATACATTTTGATTTGGTCTATGCATAATGAAAGAACCAAAAAATAGAGTCTAAGTATTATTTCTCAAATGGATCAAATAAAGCTATACAACAAATTGAAGCTAATCTAACGCTCGAGTTCTGTTCGCATCAAGCTAATCTAACGTTCGAGTTGTGTCCATCTTTTGTTCGAGTGGTGTCCATCTTTTGATGCTTAAACCTTGTTAACACACCTTCCATAGCTATGCCGAAGGCGTCTTCATAGCTACGTATATATCCGACCTAGAATACAACGGCAAGAAATCGACGATTTTCTCTCTCATCTTTCTTTTCACTTGAATATCGAATTTTTCATGTTTATTAATGATGCGACTAACAAACTCGCCTAGAAATCATTATTTACACTCTATATGATACCGAATCACCACAATTTGATGTAACTCATGAGCGAAACTGATGATTTTTTTCAGTTTCATCATTTCCGATGAAGAGGCGACGGAGGCGGAATTGCGCAAGGCCAAGTTTTCCGATGGACTTTGGCGTTTCGAAGTCGTTTAGGCCTTTAAAACGACGTTTTTGCCGTTTTAGGAAAATTCTAAATAATTCATAATAATTCTAGAAAATTCGAATTTGAAATCCGCGAGTTGGGATATTTCCAATTTTTTATCGTATTAAATTTAGGAGTTATTTTGCTTTTTTCTTTTTCTTTTTTTTTTTTTGGTAATTTTCTCGTTTTCCTAGTTTGATTAGTGTTTTTCCGTTTTCATTAGTATAAGTAGTTGCTATAGAGTTTATTTTTCAGCATCGTTTATTATCAATAAAACTTCTACGTTTTCTCTCAACTTTCTGATGAATTCCAAAGTTCTTGTGTTCTTTCAAATTAGTTCGTGCAATTAATTATTTACTGTGCTTCCGTATCTGCGTCAATTTCGCTTCGAAAAGAACTTGATTCACATTAGCTAGATGAAAACGATGTGCTTCAACAAACCTTTTAGCAAAATAAAATTATTTTTCAAAGGACTTATGGCAAATAGAAATATTTTAATATTTGTATGTCCTAATTCCTATTTTATATCACTAACTAATGACTATTATTTAAAAGTTGCCCCTTCAATTATTATTTAATACAATAAATGTGTGTATAATCATTTCTGTAATGGAAAAAAGAAGTATAGCTCAAGTGGATTTATTTACGTATTGATTACAATGACAAGACAGCTTTCTTTATCTTAGTAATGATGACACCGACATGTTGAATTTGATTATTGGATAATTAATAAATATGTTTTTTAATGTAATGTACTACTAATGACTAATGGTTAATGTAGGCAATTATTTTAAGGTTGCGGCTATATGCAAGACTAATTCCACTTGTACAAGATTAAATTAAAATTTTTAATGTATAAATACTATAATAGCCTTACTTATTAAAAAAATAGAAAATTTCAAATGTGCAAGACCAAAAATTCAAAAACACAAAAAACACTATCACAAGACCACAAAACCACAAGACAAGCTCTCATCTTCTCCATCTTCCAAAACCCACAAGACCTTTCTCCTTCCTCCTCCATAAACCCACAAAACCTAGATATTCAAAATCATCAAAACTCAACAAATCTTACAAAGATGGCAAGTATGGAGTCAGAAAACATCAAAATAGAAGATTCTACGATGGAAGAACCCAAGAAGCTATGCATTTATCGGGTTTTTAGCTACAATATCGATTTTCCAAAAAAAAATCCCGCGCAAACCAATTCGACATGTACAGGTCGAATTTTACAGGTAAAAATCGACATTTAGATGTCGATTTTGAGGTATAAAATTCGACATTTGAATTTGTACTATAAATTCGACATGTCAATGTCGATTTTTACCTATGTAATTCGACGCTTAAGTGTCGATTTGCAGCATAGTTTTTCGACACCTTGGTGTCGATTTTTACCAGTTTCAAATTTAATTTGTTTTTCCTCTTTTTTTGGGCAGATTTAGGTCACCAATGATTGTGCGTGGCGGGGCTGGCGGCGGCGGCGGAGCTTGAGCGACGGA